TCGAGTTTAGAATTCAAATTTTTCTACAGTAAAAAGCTATCACAAACAATCATATCTAACTTTTTTACTACAGTAAAAAACTCTCACATAAAGTCACATCTCAACTCAAATTAGTAAACTAAACGGGCCCTTAGTTTAAAACTCGTAATGTTGTTGGAAAGTGAGTAGGCAGGCAGCTAGCAGTAAAGAGAAGGTTTTTTTTTTTTTTTTTTTCGCTAGTACGGTAATGAGAAAGTTTACATTTTTATTTTGAGTTAATTCTACAAATATTTCCTTAAGTTTACTCTCAATTATATTTTAGTCATTAATTTTGGCCCCGTTCACTTCGCTTATTCGAGTTTAGAATTCGAGTTTTGATGTGACTTTATGTGAGAGCTTTTTACTGTAGTAAAAAAGTTAGATGTGATTGTTTGTGAGAGCTTTTTACTGTAGGAAAACTTGAATTCTAAACTCGAATTAACAAAGTGAACGGAGCCTTTTAAAACGTCACATTTTGTTTCAGTTTTGATATTTTCATTAGTTAAATATTAAATATTTGACAGAATTTATAAATGTAAAAATTAAAATTAAAAATATTTAAAGCGCGTTTAGAATTCGTTCTAAAATGATTTTATTTTTTTGTATGAAAATAAAAATGAAAACGTTTTCAATTTCATACGGAAATCATTTTTAAAAATGCGTTTAGTAGTTTTATCAATAGATTATTTTTAGTATAAAAAACTCAGTAATGTCTCTCTCTCTCTGCTCGAGAGAGGAGAAAATGAAAATAAAAAATAAAAAATGACTAAACGTCGTTTTTCATTTATTTCTCATTTTACACTAAATTAAAAAATAGTTTTCATTTCCGTTTTTTATTTTTATTGCGCCAAACGCCGTTTTAAAAATATTTTTATTTATTTTTTAAATGTAAAAAATAAAAATAGGATCAATTCCAAACATGACCTTAAAGTTTAGGGACTAAATTATTTCGAATTTTAGTCCCTAATTTGAATAGATTATATCAAATATTCAACACTTATTTAACAGAAATACCGAAACTAAAATAAAGTAAAACTTTAGAGATGTGTGTTTGGTAAGGGGATTCGTACCATGATTCAAATCATGGTTCATGGTTCGTTACAGTATTTTCTCTCACAAAAAATATACGTAAATAGAAAATTGTTCTAATCTCATGATTCTAATTCATGAATCAAACGTCAAAGTTTGAGATCAAAATGGAAGAGTAAACTATTCATGATATTGACTAACTCTTTTATTTTTATGTTGCAATAAGTTGTACACCAAGGTCTGGACTCCAATCTAAAAGCATGACTTATGGGACGTTTGTTTCATATATTCGTCATTGATTCTTAATCATAATTAATAGTTATCTACAATATTTTTTCTCACAAAAAATATATATAAAATGATAATAATTCTAAATACATAAACCAAACATTCTCTTATAAACACGGGGATTTTGCACACCGGAATTTAGGATCAAGTAGACCCAATAGATAGTGAGAACCAAAGAGAGTTTATAAGTTCTATGTTAATTGAAAAGTCCAAAGTTCTTGTAATGAGACGAACTCAGAGTATTCGAATTAACTCAAAATTACCATTTTGCCCTTTTTTTGCAATAGCTAACGTTCTTTCTAAATTTTATGCATGAATGGGAAATGTCATATAATCCTCAAACAGATTGACACCATCAAATCAAACCCACGTTATTAGCGCGGCATATTTTGTCACGGTAGAGAATTAAATTCTAAAAATATATGCAGTGCCCGCCAGATGAGGTAATTGTACGAACGCCCAATCAAGTGGCCATTATTTTGATTCATTGCTCTCGTTACAGGAAATGGTCATCTGTGACTGTCATCCTCTGAGATGTGCAAAATTTAGAAAATGGCCAAAAATCCAACCAAAGATAATGTTTTATTCCAATGACAAGTCATATTCTATCACGAAAATACACCTTTGTTTATTTCCTTGTCTTAAACCAGATAAGTAGTTGCCCCATTGCTCTTTGCAAATGCTATTTATTGGCTTATACTTAGCAATATATATATATATATATATACATATATATGTGACCTCTTTATTACCACTTTTATTTAAATATTTACATAGTGGAGAATTTCAGAGTAACCTCTTTTTCACATACTTGAAAAAGAAACTTTCACACTTTTTTCATTAAAAGCTTGTCTACGTGAACAATTTTCCATCTCTCACAAAATAAAAAAGGAAAAAAAAAATGTCAATATCTTTTTATAAATATAGAGTTCGTTTCCATTAGATTTGTAATTTAATTTGTTTAGCAAAAAAAAAAAAAAAAAAGGAAAAAACATTAATATACGATAACTATTCTTGATAAGTTCATGTCACACTTCCATCATCATATGGAAATACATTTGTACTTGATAGGTTAACAAAACCTGAAATATTCAAATAAATTATCAACTCAAAAGAATTATTGGAAGTGCACTGCTTTAGACGATATAAAACTATTTATGATTATCATTTTTTTTGTGTGGATATTTGAAGTGATTTTGGATTGCCTCATTACACCGATTGTTAACTATGCAGATGGTGAGCATCAAAGTTGACAACTTATGCACTGCTGAGCTTATAAAGACTTTATTATTGTTGCTAATCTGTACAACTAACAGATAGTGACCAGACGGACCCTAATAGAATTGCTAACTGAGAGAGAGTGTGAGAGAAACCCAAGGGCAGGAATACAAATATATGGCTGAAGATTATTACTTTTTGTTCCAATTTCTTTGAAGAGCACGAAAGAGACGTGTCCACTGCCTATCTGCAAGAAAATATATGTATTACACTAAAACATTGAGCAACAGTCAATTAATTAAGGAAAGACCAACAAAAGTATGAAAGCAATTAAAATTAAAGTGACGCGGATAAGACTCTATTAGCCTCCAAAACCAAGATGACAAAGTGCCCTTACCATGGCACCTGATAATAGTCATTGATTACGGTGTGAAATTTACATGACTATGAGAATTTCTTAAACTATACTGTTACGGTCATTTTATAAATATTGACGGATTTTAATAGTAAATTTTATATTAGTGGTCACTCTAGTTGGATGCTCGCACTGTACAATTCTCCATAATTCATTTAGCGAATCACACAACTGCTAAGTACTCCCAAAAAAAAAAAAAAAGAGGAGATCAACATGTAAAAGAAAGTAATTCTTTTTATCTATTTTCATCGAAAGAGAATAAATATATACACCATACGAAAATCAATTTAGATCTTAGAATAAAGTATATATACTGTCATTGCTTATTCACACTCCTACATAAATGTAAACAAATCAATTGGAATTGATGCTAGTTGACCGAGATGATTGGAAGAGATCCCTGACTTTGTGCATTGATTGACTTCTTATTCCTTAACACAACAGAAATAAACCATGAACCTGTCATGTCATGCAATGTGAATTATGATAAGGGAACAAACACGACATCACTTGTGAAGATCCGCACCTTTGCTAATTCCCACGTAGTCAAGAGCATATCGAAATTGAAATTCAGTACCCCAGGCCATCGTCGTTTTGTTCATTGGAAGTGATATCTAAGTAGCAATCTCAGCAACAACATAATTTCAACATTAATTTTCCTGTGTGTTGTCCATAAGCATTGTGTTCTGTACTTTCATTATTTTTCTTTGAAGATTGACAGGAACATATGAATGCTGACAATGTTTGGCCATTTCAATACATTTTCCGGTTAGAATGTGCACAGTTGAGTTGGCGATTAGTACAGCTTTTAAGCTGAAGTTTTTGAGAAACTGGCTTGCTTTTGTAGAGACTAAAGACGGTTCAGGACCCGGCGTACTTCGGCCCAGTTATTAGTGGCGATGAGTTAAACCAGTCCGGCCCAAAAGAAAGTGTCGTTTTTTTTTTTTTTTTTTTTTTTTTTTAAAGAAATGATCACCCCGAATTTGACCGCCAAAAAAAAAAAAGGGTAAATGCATATAATAACATGTCATCACGGAATCAAAAAATAAAGATTACTTGTATGTATAAGCACAAACAAAAAAATAGAATGTATCATTGTGCAAATAAGAAATAAAAATTACAAAAGGAATCCGCTGATATTTAAGAAACTTCACTTAAACATTGAAAAAATTTTCTAATATAAGAGTATTGCTTAATAGAAGAAATCCTGAAACTAAAAATTGCTCTCATTTACCAATACCAATATTTGTTAAAAGTGAACTAAAATTATATGAAGTTTGCAATTCAAGGGTTGCTTTCTTATCATATGTCAAATTTATCATATATATATATATATATGACACAACTCAATTAAAATTAATAATTTTGTTTTTCATGTCACTTATCGTGTTTAAATTGACAAAACATATATAGATAATGAACCTTGCGAAAATAACATATAGCAGAAAATTATTACTCGTGTTGAAATATAACAAAAAATTTAAGATATCTTATAAATAATAAAAATTAATATCGTTAAAAAATTATTACAAACATTTCTACCTCAACCCTCTCAAACCCCATGGCACTCAAACTCTCTTAGGCCCCATTCACTTCGTTGATTCGAGTTTAGAATTTGAGTTTTTCTACGGTAAAAAGCTCTCACAAACAATCACATCTAACTTTTTTACTACAGTAAAAAGCTCTCACATAAAGTCACATCTCAACTCGAATTCTAAATTCGAATCAGCGAAGTGAACGGGGCCTTAGTGTCATTAGATCAAGCGATATTAAACAATGCTACTATTTTTATAAAATATTTTAAAAAAAATTGTTACATTTCAACCGTACCCTAACAAATTTATTGTGTAGTACAATATTTTACATAATCTTAATCCAAACAAGGTACACAAATTGACATATGCGGATTTGAATGGGCTTATAATCACACCAACAAATTTAGAATTTAAAAAAGAAATGAATTTTGGTAATGAAATGAAATTGCATTGTGTATTTCAGTATTTGTGTTGGAGTTCGACCGTTGGTTGCCTTGACAAAACAAACTTGTCCGAATAACGGAAAACTATTAAAAGAAGAAAGAAAAAAAAAAAAAAAAAAAAGGGAGAAAACTTGTCCTCACATTCGTTAACCAAACCCTTCCCGCCATTTCCCGTCACTTCCTCCGCACTCTTTTCCTTCTTCCTCCCTCTCGCTCTCTCTGAAATCCGCCATTTTTCTGCATTTGATGCTCAAGCTTCGTTCATGCCATTGCCTACGCCCAGTCCCAATCTCTTTCCCCCGCCTCAATTTCCCCTATTTCTCTATCCTCATCTCCAGACCCTTCTTTCCTACCCCCATAACCCTCTCCAGAAACCCTAGACCCCATCATTTGACCGCTATGTCTTCTCGCCCCTCCGCTTTCGACGCTCTCATGTCCGGCGCTCGCGCCGCCGCCGCCAAGAAGAAGGCCCAGCCCTCTTCTTCCCCCAAGAAACGCAAATCCCCGGACTCAAAACCCTCTCAAAACCCCGATTCGGCGACCGTCTTGGAAACCGAAGCGAAAGGCCAAGAAAACGGAGACGCCGCTGGAAATGCTGTTGCGTGTAAGGAGGTGGCGGCGCTGCCGGCTGCAAAGAAAGTTTGCGTGTCGGCGAGCGCGCAAGAGAGGACAGCGCAGTTGAAGAGTAAAATCGCTCAATTGAAGAGAAAGGCTGGGGATTTCGATCCGAAATTGATCGATTGTTTGAAGGAGGGAGAGAAAGTTCCGTTCTTGTTCCTCTGTTTGGCTTTTGACTTAATTGCGAACGAGACGGGGAGGATTGTGATCACTGATATCGTGTGCAACACCTTGCGGACGGTGATGCACACCACGCCTGATGATTTGGCGGCCGTGGTTTACCTCTCAGCGAACCGGATTGCGCCGGCACACGAGGGGCTGGAGCTCGGAATCGGGGATGCCTCGATTATAAAGGCGCTTGCAGAAGCTTGTGGGGGGACTGAAAAACAGGTCAAAAATAAGTATCAGGTAATGCCGGTGTTGTAGTTTATTGACAATGCCGACTTTTTTATGATATGAACTGTGAAGTGTGTTGAAATTTTCTTTTGTAGCTCAACGTTTACTTTTCGTGGAGACTCACTCTTGAGAAGTGCCGATGGTATTGTTTGACTGATGTTCTACTGAGTATTGTGTATTTTGTTCAGCATATGTCCTCTTGGTTTAGACCTTTACCTTCTAAGAAGCCCTTCAGTACTTATCAGAAAAAAGAAGCAAGCCCTGATCTTTTATTTTATTTTATTGGCTTATGTTCTTCAACTGTGTTTCAAACTTTTTGTTATTTATTTACTGATATGAATGGAGCTATTCGAGTTGTGCTGTTATTTATTTCACGTTCTTTCCGTATTTTCCTTGCTAACAGCAAGTGCAATCTGAACTTGTAGGTATTGGGAGATTTAGGTCTTGTTGCAAAAGCAAGCCGCTCTTCCCAGACCATGATGCGCAAGCCTGATCCATTGACTGTTACGAAAGTTTTTGATACGTTTTGTCTCATTGCTAAGGTGATCTTTCTATAACTTTCTTTAGGTCTAAACGCAACAATTTGAAATACATTAAGCGTGATGACTTCCTGTTGAACCTTGAATTTTACTTATATTTGAACTTGGAAAGAAGCTGGAAAATTAACTGCATTTTCTGCTTTAGTAGTGCATTATTGTCTGGTACAGTCACTTTTGCTCAGGTCATAATTTGAAACGACTGGTAAGTTTTCACTTGAGTTTTCAAGTTTCTAATTTACAACAAGGATCCGAAAAACTGCACAGCATCCGTACGTTTTAGACATTCACACCAATATGAATCCATTTCACTTTCAAAGCTTAATTCATTTCTCATGTATCATGATCAGTTACAATACGGTCATTCTTCTATGTCTAGTTTATGACTAATGGATTACATGTTAGTTTTGATTTTTTTTTGCATTTGGCATATCTTTATGACGAATAAATATTTTTTGCTAGTTAGTCAAGCTATTATTGCTGAAACGTGATTCACAGATGCTTGTTTTCTGTTGGCCCGTCATGCGACATGTAGTTGTGGGAGAAGAGAGAGAATTTGTTGAGGAATTTAAGTTTTGACAATAGTAATGAACTGATTTATGTGCAATTTAATTGCCCTTGCTTTTGAATTTCAGGAATCTGGGAAGGATAGTCTAGAGAAGAAAAAGAACCATATCAAGGCACTTCTTGTTGCTGCTACTGATTGTGAACCTCAATATTTAATCCGATTGCTTCAGGTTGTAATTTTTTCCTATTCAGGAATTCTATTGTTGACTCTAGCCAATTATAAGATTGTAATAAATTGTTCTGCAGGCAAAGTTGCGAATTGGATTGGCAGAGCAGACTTTATTGGCTGCATTAGGACAAGCAGCTGTATATAGTGAAAAACATTCAAATCCTCCTCCAAAAGTTCAGTCTCCATTAGAAGAGGTAACATCATATCCTCTAGGTCAAGTTATTGTTATATGTATTGAATCTCATATTTGGTGATCCAAAGAGATTTAAACGTATTGGTGGATACCGGTTGTATGTTTTTTAACATATTTCATATGTTTACAATTATACATAATATGCCAGAATTTGGTATATAAGGTCTTACTCTTTGTTAATCTATCCAATCAGCAGCTATTTATTAAGTTCTTTGTGATTGTATTTTTATCAGGCTGTAAAGATTGTAAAACAAGTGTACTCTGTACTTCCTGTTTATGATAAAATAATCCCAGCCCTTCTCAGCGATGGTGTGTGGAATCTTCCAAAAACATGTAATTTTACTCCAGGTGTCCCTGTTGGACCTATGTTAGCAAAGCCGACAAAGGGAGTGTCTGAGATTGTACAAAGGTTTCAGGATACAGAATACACCTGTGAATACAAGTACGATGGAGAACGTGCACAGGTGATACCATCAAGTAGAATTGGTATTTTATTCCAGGAATATCCCATGTGCCTTAAGTTTCTTCATCATGCAGATACATTATTTGGAGGACGGTTCAGTTGAGATATACAGTCGAAATGCTGAGCGAAACACTGGAAAATTTCCTGACGTCGTCGCTGTAGTTTCAAGGTAAACTTTTGTAAGGGATGATTTTTTGGTAGCTAAATGAAAACTTGATTATCTAACGGAATATTGTTATCTCTGTGTGTGTGTACTCATATTTACAAGTCAGCTGCTTTAGAAGGAAATTTTTAGAGCTCTATAGTAAGCTTCATTATGTGATCCGTAAAAGTAGCACCTAAGTAATTACTAAAAAGGAAAAATCACTGGCAACTAATTCGTGTCCCAGTTTTGTTGCCGCTAATATTTGCTACTGGCTTGCAGGTTAAAGAAGTCATCTGTAAACTCATTTGTCTTGGATTGTGAACTGGTCGCTTATGACAGAGAGAAACAGAAAATTCTTCCCTTCCAGGTTTTATTTCTTTAACTACTATCAAATTTTTTAGCAACTGTGATACACATTTGGCGGAAGTGCTGTTGTTTCATATTATTCACTTTCAAACATAGTTCTTGTCGGGTAATTAATCATTTATATTGGGTTTAAACTCATTTTTAGTACTTATAGTTTCTGTTAGTATTGAATGCCGCATGAGGGAAAAGTAAGTTATTGCAAATTCACAAGAAAATTGGTAATCATGACAACTGTCATTTTTCTGGAGTCATTCACACGCGTTTTATTTTATTTTTATTTTATTTTTTACAAAAGATTTTGGAATGAAAAAATAGGAATATATTTCAGTCAGCAACATTACACTTGTTTTTGTTAGATCTCTATCTGGATTAATCAAATTGGTAGTTGTTGTGTGAATTGTGTCCTTAAACCTAAGTAGAACTGAATGCATAAGAGAATGATGGACAATAGTACATAAAAATTTAACCAGGATAGTATTCTTGAATAATGCTTATATATATTTATAGCATTTGTTTTTTAATCTTGACGAGTATTACTAATTGATTGCTACCATTTTTATTCCATTCCTTCGGAATGGCGGGACGAGGCGGAAGGTAAGGTCGTCCCTTTACTTCATTCCTTCGGAATGACGGGACGCTAAGGGAGGGGACCCTTCCCCTCCCCCGAACCCCCTCCCCTTCCCCTTTAGATAGAAGGTCGTCCCTTTACTCCATTCCTTGGAAAGGAATGGCGGGACGCTATTCGTTCGTGATTCACACCCGTGAATCACTCCCTGAAGACTTGTTGATATACTCTTTGATTGGGTCGGTCGATCACTCCCTCACAGGGGAGCTCTCTCTCTGTTTTGGTACGACGAGAGAGGAGTGGTGACCCTCTATTAGCCTTTAGGTACTTGGCAGCTATACTTGACCGACGTTGGCTCCATATGGTAAATTTAAGGTTTGGTTGTATTATTTACTTTTATGCTTCCCTACGTGGAAAATGAATCAAACCTGAGCTGGTACTGGTCTTTGTTTTCTTTTGCTCAAATAATTTGGTGAGTGGAGGTAATTATGTCTTTTACAAATGATTTTATGGCAGATACTCAGCACACGAGCTCGCAAAAATGTGGTCATGAGTGATATCAAGGTTGATGTTTGCATATATGGGTTTGATATGTTGTATCTTAATGGTCGACCTCTTCTTCAGGAAGAACTAAAAGTTCGTAGAGAGGTTGGCTTTTTTTCTTATTTGACTTTTTGGCCTTTTGCTCTTAGTGAATCTTGTTGCTGTACTCCACCTTTTGGTAATTATAGTTGTTGATTTTCAAGAGTTGTTAAACGATCAAATTCATCATCTTTTCGTGCCGGTTTCTGAACTTTACTTTGGGGCACCAGCAACGTGGCAACTTGCTTTGTTCACAAAGTGGTTTTTATAGTTGTGTTTCACACACTCCAGTCAAATAAGCCTGCCTACTAATAATAAAAACGTTTGTCTTAAAAGAAAATACTACTTGCTTACATTAGAAAATTGTAATGTATTCTTAATTTTATAAATGTTGTGTTGTGCAGTGTCTCTATGAGTCGTTTGAGGAAGAGGCTGGATTTTTTTTATTTGCCACAGCAATAACTTCAAATGATATCGAGGAAATACAAAAGTTTCTTGACGCTTCTGTTGATGCCAGGTATTCACATCCTGTTTTTAATTTTTCTCATTTTTTAATGTTTTGAATATATGACACCAGTAGACATGACCTTATGTAAATATGTTGGGTTGTTTTTTGGATCACCTGACTAAATTGTTATGCATTTTTTCTCAATAATGCAAAAACCAAAGATTTCTCGCATTAATTTTCTATGAGACACTTCTCCTAGACAATATTATCATTTATTTTTCATAGGCTATTTGCATTCGTTGTTTTTCTATTTTTCAAGGCATTATTTTGTAGTTGAACCATTCATCTCCTTTATGTTATCAACTCATCTATGGTTAATGGTTTGTAGTTGTGAGGGTCTTATTATCAAAACGTTGAATAAAGATGCTACATATGAACCCTCCAAGCGGTCTCTTAACTGGCTCAAATTGAAGAAGGATTATTTGGATAGGTCAGTGATACTGATACAACAGAAGTATTCCTTTACCTCCAACTCCTGTTTAAGCATTATGAACTTGGATTTGCTTATTTTCTGTCATCTACAGCATAGGGGACTCACTGGATTTGGTACCTATTGCTGCTTTTCATGGTCGAGGAAAACGCACAGGTAACAATGACTATATTTAAATACATTGAGACATGCACATTCTTTGTTAATATTACATTTAAAAGAATAGATAAGTTTGTGTGTAACACATGCACATGCACGCGCAATCATATCCAAATTTCACTGTTGTAACGCACTTTAATTCTGCACCTTACCAATATAATGTTTTTGTCATGTTAGGTGTCTATGGTGCCTTTCTCCTAGCTTGTTATGACAACAACAATGAGGAGTTTCAGAGCATTTGTAAAATTGGTGAGTGGGTAGCATGTGCTGCAACTTCTCAATGGCTGTCTAATGATTTTGCCCATTAATGATGATTTTGCCTGAAATTTAAGAAAATGATATATAGGCACTGGATTTTCTGAAGCAATGCTGGAAGAACGTTCTGCTAGCCTCCGTTCTAAAGTGATTCCAAAACCAAAGGTCTGACTTTTTTTTCCCATTCCTTCTGCCTTTGCCACTAGAAGATATGTGTCTACGCATGGCTTTCACTAAAATTTTACTTGCTAATGCTAATATTCTTGTTAATTGCAGTCATATTATCGCTATGCAGAGACCATTAGTCCAGATGTATGGTTTGAGCCCACTGAGGTAACTGGTTTGCATCCCTTTTCACGTGCTCATATTCTTGCCTCATCTCATCTTGTGCTTTTGAAACCTGATTCTTTATTGCTACGGTGCAAATGAAACTGTACGGTGTTGTCTACAGTTTAATATGGTTGTCTTTCAGTTATAACCTGCTTAAAAACAATTCATGTTTATATTTTTTTTTCTTAGTACTGCAGATGGAATAGGCTATGTACAAATTTAACAAATTTATTACTTTTGCTTGTATTTGTTGCCAAGCATACCATCTGCAATAACTATTAAATTGTAGTTGTTTTCGTATACATTAATTTTAGGTCAATGTATACTCTATTTATTGTAACTGGGACCACATGGTTAAGTTCTCTTTCTAGTGTTCTTGTTGTTGCAAGTTAGACAGCCAGTCGTCCCTCCTGTATTTGTTGTTTGCTTTCTTCCTTTCTTTTAATAGAATTGTTTGTTGTCTTCCTTTTTTTTTTTTTTTTTTTTTTAAATGTTGGGTCTAATGTAGCTCCACATAAGTTTAGTTGTTAATGTTAACTCTCTCTTGTTGGATTTTTTGTACTTATAAAATTAGGGGACGAATAGAATTTGGAACCGTGTTTTGATTTTGATAAAACTCAATGGTGTTGCTCTTTTCTAGGTTTGGGAGGTGAAAGCTGCAGACTTAACTATTAGCCCTGTTCATCGTGCTGCAACTGGCATCATAGATCCTGATAAGGTTTAATAAGCCAAGCCTCTCCTTTTATCTTCCAGTGCATGTTCTTATTTTTCTCCCTTTTTTGTTGTTGGCATTCTATAAACATTTGTGAATGCAAACTTTTTTGTTTTCTTTCTTCTTCTAATTTCTTTTATACTTGTAACAAGGGCATTTCACTTCGGTTCCCGCGCCTTGTTCGTGTCCGAGAGGACAAGACTCCAGAGCAAGCTTCATCATCTGAGCAGGTGAAACATCAACTTATCTTACATGCTCATATGATTGGATTGTTTTATGTACTTTCTCATACCCAACTAATAAGAACAAATTACACCCGTCCCAAAACTATGTTACATGTTCTATGATCGGATTGTTTTATATACCTTTTTGTACTCAAAACTAAGAAGAGTAAATCACACCTGTCTCCGTTGATGTTCATCTCAAACAGGAGCTAATTCTCTTGTTTTAGATGATACACTGGCCCCTCGTGATCTTTCCTGTTAATGTCATCTCCATCCCGGGTCCTTCATTCTATGATGGGAAAAATAGTTATTTTGCACATAATCTGGGAAAAAGATTACAGAAGTGAAAATTCTACCCCGTCAAAATATTACTAGAAGGTTTCTATCTAATTGTGAATCCATTTTACAATGTCATAAATCTGTCTAAAATCTCCTAAGAGAACTTTGTAACAAGTTATTTTGATTAGGCTTGAGAGAAGTTATTGCAGCTTAGTCTTTCATCAAGTATTAAGAAAGAACAGGGTTAAAATTACTAGATGAGTATTAAAAGACGATCTCAATGTTGTGTTCATACTTATTTTTGGTTTGAAAATTATAGCCTCTTATAATAATATGACCAAGTCTTGTATACTTCTATCTGAATTTTAGGTGGCTGATATGTACACTGCTCAAAGTCACAATCATTCAAATAATCAAGATGATAATGAAGATGATTGAGTGACAAAGTTCGTTTCCTTTACTCTAATCTGGAGATTATTTCTGCGTGTAAAGACCGCAAGTGAAATGTTGATACAGTCAAACATTGAATGAAGACTGCACTCATGTGGTTGGACGTGCTAGGCTGTAAATTTGTAACAGATTTAGATGCTCTTTGTAGAAGTTTCAGGCAATCAAAATAGTCCAATTTGGGGTCCTGCATCTGCATTGGCTATATTTATCGGCGGTAAACTTTGTTATATTCTAAGCAAAAATAAAAAAAAATTCTGTTTATTACAAATGGAGATAATTGTGTTTTTGTTTTTTGGGGTTTTTGGGAAGGCCCGTTATCGTTGGATCGTGTCTTTGTGCAAACGTTATACAGAAAAATTCTGGTATAGACGTTGAACTCTTTAATGTGATAGGAATCTGCATCTACAGGCAGCGGTTTGACTTGATTACCAAAAACGGTATTATAGAACAGTTTAGAATGTTTTAGAACCTTATTGTTTATTTAATTAATACTTGTTTGCAAGGTGGAATCCACCTGATCCTTATACACCACGTCACAATACCTGTGCTTTTAGACCCGTTATATTATTTTTAGATTTTCCTTTTTTATTAATTTTCGAGGTCATGTTTCGTATCCGTTAGATTATTTTTACCTTTTTTTCTCAAAAAAAAAAAAGAAAAAAAAACAGAGAAAAATGAATGGTCGGACATTTATCTATAGCTTACAGTGATCAGAAAAGGACGTGTAGCACTCCCAGGCATGCAAAAATGCAGAGCCTGTTTTGGCATTATTGAGGAAGGTCGCTTGTAAGGAGTTGGTATTCCAATTTCCAACATACCACTTCTATATAAAAATCTAAGCTTAATTTATGATCGTTTCAAATGAGAAAAAAAAAAAAAACCAATAAATTCTTAAGATCTATTAAAAGTAGAAGGTTCCTCGTTCAAATTCTTAACTCTTAAGATCAAATATTCCTCATTATATTATGAAATGACGGAAAAAGAAGTTAAACCAATAAATTTTTATCTAGCTATTCTCCTGATCATTGCGTAAAATCTTCTACATTTGAGGTACAAGTTGAAATGCGCAATCTCGTTTACAATGCAATGCTCAAGGAAATTTGATCGCTATCTTGAAATTAATGGTCGATAATTTCCTTGGAAAGATATATAATAAATCCCCATGTTGTCTACTGTGTTTTGTTTTTCTTTTATACGACAGCTTGAAACGGCACTGAATGTGGAGAGACTGCAAAAATCCATGTGTGTATAGTATTTGTTTGGTTGATCATGGTCATGCAACAGAGAGCATTGTAGCATCTGCAAACTCATCGTCTAATTGTTGCATTTCCAACTAAAAATCATGTCAAACTTTTAATTTTGTTGTTGATCAACTTGCCTTGCAAACTGACATTTTGGGTCCATCGTTTTTCAAGTCATGGAACTCGGCCTAATTAGATGAATCATTCCGTGACATGTGATTGGTAATACACACTTATTAGTTGGTGAAAAAGTCTTTGGCCCTCATAAGGGCTTAGGGAGATAGATATTAGAGCTGAAAGGACGTTTCCCCGTGTATTAGAGGCCATCTTTTCATCCATTGAACCCTAATTTTTGGCCGAGTCATCAAGATCATGAAATTGCAATCCAATCCAACTAGATAAGAATATATATAATATTGGACATTGACCAAGAATTTAGTTATACCAAACTCATTGTTACTCCTTTCTAATGTCAATAAATGATATGATACACTTCTTACTTCTATACGTTACAAGAGAATTATAGTAAAAATTTACACTCTGTGTACGTGTATGTATGTATATATGCACATTGTTATAGTCACCATAACATATATAAATAATAAACATAACACTAGCGTTGAAATATGGATAATTAATTTTTTTTTCGGTGTTACACTTTTTTAATATTAATGTCACGTTAAATATATGTCATGTTATGCTTTTCTCTTTTTTTTTTTTTTTGACAAGATGGAGAGATTCAAACTCGTCAATAAAATTACTGTTAGGCTATACTTGCAATCACACTTCTCACTTTTATACGTTGTGACAAAGTAGCAAAAAAACCTATGCGCGCGCTTGTGTATTATTCCCACTCTTAAGCTCTGCCGTGTGGACCCAGTAAGTTACCAAACATTGGCTCTGGGCTCCTCCAAATATTCTGTCTTGCTTTGTATTTCATATTTGATCTATTAAACAGGGCACAGGCCAAGTTAGTTTGAGTTCTTGCTTTGCTGTCTAGTCAATCAAAGAATTAGATGTAAAAGTGCCTGTGAGTTCATTATTCATATTTCACCTTTTATACTTGCGTTCCTCCTTGTATTTTTCTTTTGAAAATTTACCGAGAGTTTGCACCTCAATCTGTCAACTGATAAGAATGTGATAAACTCAAATTATGGGCCCTTACTAGCAGGTTCTATAAAGTAGTCTGAACTTATATGGGATTTTCTTAACTCTTATCTGTATATCTTTTTATTTCTTTAAAAAGAAAAACGCGTAATAGAAAAAAGTAGTCTGGGATTATCTAGGCATAACAACTATTATCCGTGTACCTTTTCTGCCATAAAAAAAAAAAAAAAAAAAAAAAAAAACGCGTGACCCATGAATCTTTTCCTTTTTCCTTAAAAGGCTTGGAGTTGATTTTTTTTTTCTTTTTTCTTTTTTCTGTCTCCCAAGCCATAGTAAGACTATCTTGCTTTGGTTTGTCCTGTGAGTTTGTACTAGTTAAGGGGAAAAAAAATTTTATGGATAGCGCTTACCACCATAATTTTATTTCCCTTTTTCAGTCACATGCTGTCATATAATAATTTAGAGAAATTCGTATGAAAAAAATTCATTTTGTACTGTTGACTTGTGAAAGTTTTCATCAAATTCTGGGATATTTCAATATTTGCTTAGTTCTGATTCAATTTTTTTTTGTTATTTAATTAACACTCGGAACTTACAGTGATAAACAGAATTACTTTTTGTAGGAAATATAGAAGAAGTATTGGGATTATCCGCTAGGCACTAGCAACCAAAAACGAACAAGCAGTTTGGCTACCTTAAACAAAGACATGGATGTATAGGAAAAAAATAAATCTTTTTTTTTTTTCTTATTAAACTAGAATCGTTAGTATCCTCACGTTTCTATCCAACACCACTTTGAAAATATATTGGGACCATAGGTGAAACAAAAAAGAAATCTGTCTACGCTCTCGTCAATCATCTTTAGAGGTCCAGGCACAAATTTACCATTTCAAGAAACTAAGTGCGGATGCAAAGAATCGAACCCTCGGACAGATAAGAAAAAGAGTCATGAACCAATCGCTGCTCACTCCTATGTCACCGCCATCGCTTAGTGAGAAAAATCTTGTGCTGGAACACAGTCTTCTAGAGTAATGGAACTCGAATATTGGGGCGAGGCTAGATTTGGAATATGCACTACTATCCGTTGATATGTTGATTGATTTTCGCGGAGAATAGGAGGATACTTGAGCAAGCATGTCAACCAAATTTCACATCCAAGAAGCTATGGTTTTTGGCGTTGGAAGGACAAAAAGGTAACCAAGCTCCCGTTCATTTCGCCGATTCGAGTTTAGAATTTGAGTTTTGTTACAGTAAAAAACTCTCAGAAACAATCACATCTAACTTTTTTGTTATAATAAAAAGCTTTCACACAAAATCACATCTCAACTCGAATTACAAACTCGAATCAACGAAGTGAACGGACCCCAAATTCGTCTACTGAAGTTAGCGTGTGAACTATGAAAAAGGAAAAGACTGACAATTTAGGAGCATTTGTTAGCTTCTTTAGTTCTTTTGCATATTTGAAGCTTTTAGTAATAAAAATTTGGTCAACTCTGAGCATTGCTTTCCTCTAATGAAATGCCATTGGCAAGTTGGATACCTTTGCATTATTTGTACCACCTTAGAGGGATAAAGATTTAAAGCTCAAACAAAGCATAAACCAACTTGAGTGGGAGCAGATGAATATAAAAGAGGCTTTAATGGATTCATCAATATATATATATATATATATATATAATGGACAAATAGGAGGTAAGAGAAACAAATAATTTTGAGAAAAGAAAAAAACATAAGATTAGACTTAAATAGTCATAACATTAGCAAAAAGACTTAAATAGTCATAAACTTCCCTCAAAAACAGACCCAGAAAAACATATTAATCATACATCACACCAGTAACTAAATCCTGATTCTGATTTGTGGGATCCACTAAACCCGACAAGCAGAGGCCTCTTAAATAAAAACCTTCTGGTTGTTGGCCACACCCATCTTCCAAACCCAACAACTCCCACACTAAAATTTCTTACTTCTATTGGAGTGATCAGTCTCTCTCTGTCACTTTTTTAACATTACACAAAGCACACGCTCATACAATCTTAACTAAACTAGTAGTAACAAAGTTACATCTTTTTTTTTTTTACAGCCCACAACAATGTTGGAAAAATCAAGTACCCCTTTCACATCATGGAGCAAAAAAAACTCAAAATGTGAAGGAACAATAAAATAAAATAAAATAAAATAAAATAAAGAAAAGGGACAAAATCCCCCACACAACAACCTCTTGCAGAAAAAAGCCCAAAGCAAGCTTAATTTCGTTTTTACTCCACTCCTCAGTGAGTTAATTTTTGGAATTGGCACTTCTTTTCACTACCAGGACAAGCCACTGTACAAAATGCTAAATCAGTCAACAAAAATACCCCAAGAGTGCAAATTTCATCATAATCATCCTCCTCACTAACCTCTTTAGTTATATTAAAATTATAATTATACCCCTCCTATAGAAAATTAAACAAAAGAAAAAGAAGCCCCAAAGTCAGTGGAGAACAATCCTTTGGTACTTGGCTTCTGTGGGATACTCAGACCCTTCACAGAGAACCCTTTTCCTGTTGATTCTTCCACAGTTGGTTATGCCATTGATGTTGTTAATTAGTAAGGAATCTTGCTGGATAATTTGTAAATTTTGTTGATGTTGTTGTTGGTGTTGTTGTGACGGTGGTGGTGAAGGAATGGTGACTGGTGGGATTTCAAAGGACTCAAGTGGTGGTGGTGGATGTCTCCATTGAGGAAGAGGACCAGCCAAGAGCAAAGTTTGAAGAAGTGGGCCAGCCTTCATAACAGCTTGTAGAAGCTTTCCTTTCTCAGGCAATGGCTTATCAGACACAAGCTCAAGCTCCGCCATGGCTGTTGCTGGTGGTGGGCCCAATTGGGTTTGCTGAATTGGGTCAATCACTGGTGAGGAAACAATGCTTTCTTCACAGTCTGAGGAAGAGAAGCCATTGTTGGAGTCAATCCCTCTTCTGGGTTCATCCTCAATGCTAGAAATTCCAGACACTGGAGCTGTTTGTTGTTGCTGTTGCTGTTGTTGCTGTTGTTGTTGGAGAAGAAGTTTCTCCAAAAGGAGTCTTTGGCATTTTTCCTGTGCTTCATCTCTTTCTCTCACTGCTTTGCTGAGCAGATCTTTGAGTTGAATTAGTTGGTCATCTTTCTTCCTTAGCTCCTCCTGAACTGTCACCTTTGTCTGTTCAAGCTCTAACTTTGTGTACCAAAGTGAACTCCTCAGCTCATCTTCCACACTCTGTATAAATAGAAAAACACCATTAACAACTAAAAAAAACAAGGAAAAACAAAGAAACAAAAAAACAAACAAACAAAACCCCATTATACATTTTACTTTGGTCAATTGTTTTCAAGGTGGAAAGAGAGGAAAAGTCGTTACCTTTCCTTGGCAGTAGTAAGCCCAACTAACACCAAGAAGAGGATTGCGGTTGTTGTCCATGTTCTGCTTATGCCTTCAATGCGCTTCTCAACAAGAGAGAGAGAGAGAGAGAGAGAGAGATTTGGGAGAGGAAGAGGAGGTGGGGTGTTAGAGTAGTGGTTCTACTTCTTATAAGAAGTACCTAGAGTCACTGTTCTCTTTTGCCAATTGCCATCTGCTGTTTTTTTTTTTTTTTTTTTCCTCACTAGGGGGTTAGACTAAAGCACAAAAGGCCAAAAGCCTAGCAAGGCCAATTCCTAATATCCTACTCTCTCTCTCTCTCTCTCTCTCTCTCTCATGAGTATTTCTCTTTGTATATATTTACCGATGATCAGTAACTGTAAGTCAGTAATCTTTTAGGCCTCTACAAACTCTACTGTGCATACAAACAAACTAATAACTATCAGCGATGAAAGCGGGAGTAACAAAGAAGTGTGTACTCTTTTATTCATTTATTTATTTATTTTAGCCACTTGCGTACGTTACTCCTATGGATATTGAGTCTGACAAGTGAGAAGAAATACAGGGATAAAACCAAAAATTTGTTCGAGACTTTCACTCTTATCTTAAAACGCTAATGGACAAGTAAGGATTAGTCTGGATTGATTCTCGTACATGTGTACAAAGCTACAGAAAGTTGGATAAATGTGTACATATTCTTCTTTTTTTCCAACTTTTTTTTTGGCCTCTTCAGAAGAATGGCATAAATATATATATTTTTTTCTCTGTTTCATACCTAACTTTATGATAGTAAACGGTTATTTTTCCCGCTAGGGAACATGACTCATCATATGATATATAAGCAATTGAAGCCTTTATACACCATGGCATTCCAATCCCTCCTCAGTCGTGTTTTCATTTGCACCATCCACTAAACTAGAAAATGGAGAGTAGCCTAATTCTTTCAGTTACCAAAATTAGAAACATATTGAAAAAATCAATGCTACGAGCATAATAGATGTCCGGTTCCATAATATGGGATTCACAATTGAAGCATACTTTTAATTAGTTATATTAGTGCTTAAACGGTGCTCCTAAGCCTTTTTATTTTTTTATTTTTTGAGAAACAATTCTAGACGTGTTCCATTTTTCTTTTTAAAAAGTATTTTCCATGTCAGTTAGCGGTGGTAATTACTCCTTCTAATTTGGCTTCTCAAGCTTGTATTACTAAATAATTTCTCAATACCCCCATTTTCCTTTTATTTTGATTAGTCAGCTGTAAATCTAAAGATGAATCGATTTCCAAACCTCAGAACTTATCTTATTTTGACGAATTTCCCCCCTTGCACGTGGGCTGCCTTATTTCTTCAGAAAGTTCAAAGGTATTCTTGTTTGAGTCTACTCTTTTCAAATCCAAATAATTAATATCTTCCAAAATTAATTCTTCTACTTCGATTATGATGGATACATTGATTCTTAATCCAATTTGTTTATACGTAAGTATAAGAACTTGGAAGAATTTTTTGTAGCGCTCTAGATTGGTTGTATTAGCACATTAACGCTTTGCCACTTGGAACAATAATTTAAGTACGTAACTAACAAAATTGTTTACCTGTAGACAATTTCTTCTCAACGGTATACGCACAAGAATCTGGAAACTTGGTGCTGTTTGTTCGTTTAATAATAATAATAAGATTGGTTACTTTATGTTTTAAGATGAAAGTGTGTTATAAAGTAATTTAAAGCTAATATTAGGTAAGATTCTTTTAACTTTCTACTTAGAAATTTGAGAGAATATTTGTTTGGTTTGTCTAATAATATTCTTTTGTTTTTATTATTATTATTATTTACTATCTTGATCAATTAGTATACTATACGGCCGTCTCATGTTTCATTTGTTTTCATTTGTCTGTGGAATAATTTCTCATTCCATTAGGCATCAGCAGTCAATAAGTGATGCCTTTTCATTTTCACCGGTATTTTCAAATTAAAGTCATTTTATAATATAATTCGTGGCACATACATGCAACATTCTTTCATAAATTTTGCAGCTTATACGCCATATGCCTTAATCCTATTGCATGGAATATATATTTTTTTACCTAAAATAAATAAACTATTAAAAGTAGTTTGACTTTTTTGAATCTTACGCATATGATCTCTATTTTTTTTTTTTAATTTTTTTTTTTATCGAGCTTTGTGAGACAAAAGTAATTACGGATGATTTTATCTTTTACGTTTGGAATTAATTTTAAAATAATTTTATTTTTTTTATAAAATTGAACAGATAGAAATTAAATTTAAAAATATATTTAATAGTTTTATTAATAGATTATTTTTAGTATAATAAAAAACTGAAATTCCGTTTAGTTATATAATTTTTATTTTAATTTTTTTAAGTCTATAGTCGTCAATAGAGCATATTAGAGAAAGCCAGTCAAGTGATAACTTTAAGAGCATTTCATTAGTTCATTTAAGGGAGAAAGAGGGAAATAGGCCAAGACTTGAGATGAATTAAAATTAATAGGCCAATAGTTTACATAAGTTAATAAATAGGCCAGATTACTGTTTTTGTCCATAACTTGTCTGGTTATGGACAATAACTTGACAAGTTATTGTCCATAATTGTTCATAACTTGTCTGGATATGAACCATAACTTGACAAGTTTATCCATAACTTATCCAGTTATAAATCATAACTTGACAAGTTATGGCCTATTAATTTCTATAACTAAAAATTGGCCTATATACTTTCTTAAGCTTTTCATATTGGTCTATTTCTTACTATTTCCCTTCATTTAAACCCACACTCACTTGCCCAAAAAAAAAGGCATCTACCCAAAAATAAAAATAAAAAACGACTTAAATTCGTTTTCAATTTTTAAGTCATTTTACACTAAATCGAAAACCGTTTTTGTTTTTATTTTTTTCACCTTTTTTTTTCTCTAAACACGTTTGCCTCCTCCTCAATCTCTGCTTTTTTGTCTCAGAAAACGTGAAAAATGAAAACAGAACTGATACCAAACAAGCTATTAAAGACGGTAGTGTAAACAACGTTTTAATTACTAATATTTGCAAGAAACAATGGCTATAAGACAAGGGTTAATTTATGTGTGTGTGATTGGTTATGTTTATGTTAGCAATTTACTTATGAAGTGACCCTGTTTTGTTTCCTTACCCTCCACTTTTTTTTAAAAAAAAAAAAGAGAAAGCAAAATGATAAAAATAAGAAGACCATGAGAATTTCATGCAATAGCCAAAGAAGAAAAATGGTTCCAAAGAAAACTACAAGAACCATCATTTCTAGTTTGACAAAGTAAATATGTAAGATGAGAAATCATGCTATTGCTTAAGATCTCATGGTTCTCATCTTTGACTTGAAGAATGTTTGCATGTGCACTTCATGTGTCGCGCAAAGACTAAAAACTTAGAAGTACTCCAATAAACATATAAAATTTTCAAAAAAAGAAAAAGAAGATAGAAATTTTTGTTAATTTTGTTAATTCCAAGCTCTCCTATCTGTGTTCATATATGTAGATAGGGGTCAAGTTAAGCTGCTATAATTGGTCAGAAAAAGGAGCTGGTAACCAAACTTTCCCACCAATATATTTTCTTAAGGAAAGTTGATAGTGACACCCCTTTTAAACCACAAAGTCCTCCTTAAAGGAAAGAAGGGGGGGGCTTCTGTTTGACTATTTCGAGACTCTCTTACCATTAAAAATAGATAGGAAAAGTTTATGGTATGGTCCAAAAATTTATTGTATTGATGGTATATAATTTTAAACCGTTGGATTTTTATTAAAAGTTATTGAATTTTTATGTTTATGGGTTTTGATATGATCTAACAGATCGTAACTATGCAGTATGTGTAAGACTTTTTTATAGTCTATTGCAAAATCATCAAAATATAGATGTATGCACACATGACAATATATAAAAGTAAGTATATTGTTGAATTTTTATTTGTTTAGCTAAGGCTCACCTTCAAATTCAACACACACTTTTTGAGATGGGACATGTGTCTTCCTTGATGATCGATAATCTCTTATGATGAAGGATGATCGCGTGTGTAACTTTATTTTGTGCATTCTTAGTTGAGTTATTAATTAATTTGGTATCTTTAATATTGTAATAATCTGGGAACTAACTGTATCATTGTATTGGCACTTAATTTGTTCCCTAACTATGTCTGTTGACATTAAAAGCCTTATTAAAAAAATTTTAAAAGGAACAAAGAACCACATGTTTCCTGTCAAAGGTTCAAAACCGTGCAGCTCCCGTGTGTCCATAAAGGAGGGGGAACAAATGTTTTTCTTCACAAGTCTTCTTGCCTAAATATATATATATATATATATATATCCAGAATCATCCAACAACTACAAGCTAGCTCAGCAAATCGGGATGAAGAGGATGTTGATCTGAAATTCCTATTTTCTGAACAGGAAGATCCAGACATGGATACGGTCTTCGCTATTCCAGACTCAGATCAAGAAGATTTTGGTTCAGAAGGAGAAGATGTAGACTACCACATTTCAGTCTACAATATGGAACAATGTTCCATAGCTGTGCCAACTCCTCCACTACCGAATGTCGAAGTAACTATCTGTTCTGTATATTTTTTTAATTTGATTTGATTTTAACCAGATCCAACAGTTAGAACTAACTTATTAAGATGACGGCCTATCAGATACCCATATATATATATATTATTTTTTTTTTAGAGTATGAAAAAAATACTAATTTGTTAGAGTTCTATTTTAAATTATCAAAATGAGTTGTCATTTTTACACATATATAAATATATATATATATATATAAATATATATATTTTTTGAGGTAAGTTTGAGAACATCTAACGTTTAAAAACACACTCTACACAGATATCGTTACAGTAGAAAGCTCCAAAGAATTTCGTTAGGGCTTTTCAACTTTTTCTTTTTTTCCTTTTTTCCAAAATTCTTGAGTAAGTAGCCTAGAATTTACATGTTTTTCCATTTCTATCTGTAATTTTTATTATTAATTAACGATTAAACTTTAGAAATGCCATTGATATGTCTTCTATTAACTTCTTGTTTGCAAGTTCTCTGAAATTTTTTTGGAAAGTACGCTTTATGTCCTGCTATTGAACCATTTATATAATGAAAGGGCATACATCTAAAAG